CATAGTCTCTGGAGACTGAAGGATGCCTATGAGGTGTGTTATGTTCAAGGTGTCTATCTGTTTAGATCCAGAAATCCCTCAAGATCTTGTTGTGCAATCGTTGGACATTCACAGATGAGGTATAGCACAGTTTCGTCTTTTTCTTGGCAGCGTCAACACTTGTTGTTAGCACTAATTCCTTGAATCTTAGCTTTCCTCATACTGTATTGGTTTGGAGTGCTTTTTCTTGTCCCCAGTTTTAGCCATGTCCATGCTGAATTATTATCATGCTTTCCAGTAATATTTCTCACATATTGTCCATGTAGTGGTTTATTTTCCCAATTCATTACTACTTAAATAACTGGTTCTAAAATAAACAGTGGGACTTACAAGATTCTTTCACATTTGCTGTTGGCTCCTTTGTGAGTGCTCCTTGTGAATTTAAAAACTGCCACCACTAATCTTGCACTTTTTTCTAAACAAACCACAAATTCCTCAGTTCTTAAGTTTTAAATTGGGGTGATAGCTAACAGGAGCTAACATTTCTGAAATTCTGAAAATAGGAAATACTGTGTTTCCTAGAAAACAGAACCTCCTCTACCTACTCTAAAGAGAAAAAACAAACACACTGCCAGTAGTGCTGTACACAAAACAACTCTGCATCAACCTAAGAGCCAACACTCTGCATCTACTGAAACTACCATAAAACTATTACAGAAGCAAAGTGAATTAACATCTCCAAAGAAAACAACAACAAATGAAAACGCAGCTCCAGAGTGGTCGAAATGACTAGATAGGCGGCGTATAAATACAATAAATAAATAAATAAATAAACAAACAAACAAACAAACAAACAAATAAAAATGCAGCTCCATATCTCCACAGCTATTTAAGACTAACCAATTTCCTAACATATTTACCTTTCCCCATAGAACAGTCACCAAAGTGAAAACTACTGCTGCCAGTCTCCTATTAATACTGTTTGAAGTTTGAAAAATTATTTGAAGCAATTAGAAGCAAATCTAGCCTCTGATTCAAAGTGGAAAAATGGGATGTTGCATGGATCCTTCTGTACAACAGCTTTGAAAGTGAATGATTCTACTGTAATGGCTTCTGTGGTCAATGCTAATTTTTTTATTTATTTTTTAATTTGATTTATATCCCACCCATCTGGTCTTGCGACCACTCTAGGTGGCTATGGAAGTACATGTGAAAAAAATATAAGGAGTTATTGTTGGAGGAATGTTTGGTTAATTCTCTTTTAATTGGCAGAGCAAAAAACAAAAACAAAAAACAAAACCCAGCTGTAGCAGAGGGGAAACATGAAGCGAAACAGCTAAAGGCCCCAGCTTCCACCCAGTCCCGTTTATTCTCACAGTGACTAGCCCTTTGTAAATAAAAATCACTTTACAAGTAGCTTAAGTATAAAAGGAAAAAACATCTTTACTCACAGTTGTGGAACTTCACGTATACAGGATAAAAAAAGAAATTGCAATCGCAACATGCTAGGAAACTCAGATAGCCATGAAGCAGACTTCACATGTCTGCTCAGGTTCAAAGTTAAAAGAAGAAGAACAAGAGACAGCAAACAAAAGCAAGCAGGACAAACAAGAAGATGGGGTAGGCAGGGGCTTGCCTCAAGCCCGGGCAAAAGGACTTTACTAAGAGATTAGTGGCAAGGCATAATTATGTTAGGCTGGGAAGCTTCCCTTCCCAGTGAAACCCATTGTTAGGCTGCATGCAAAAATTGTTATTTCCTTCAAGTTATTGGCTTTGTAAAGAGCAGTGACTGCCAAGCTTCTGCTGTAGCTTCCAGAAGGCATGGCAGCTATCATTCTTGGGTAGGACTTTTGCGATCTGTGCTCTTTAAACACTCAACGTCTGGGTAAAAAAACATATTTTATAAAGTAATTCTTTATTGGAAGTGTGTGTGTGTTTTCTTGGGGGGGTAACAGCATGCAAACAGATGCCCTCTACAAGGGACATATTAATAAATAATTATATTTAACAGCCAAAATTGGTGTTAACTGTTATATTTAAAACAGTATTTTTCTAGCATTATATTTATTGATGGCATCTGGAATCATCTGGCTGACCAAGTCAGAAATTTAATGGCATTTCCTATCTTTGATGAGACCAATATATTTTAACAAATTATGACTTTAGTTGGGGCCACAGTTATGTGCAAGACCAGAAGTTTATTGTCCCCAATTCAATTGACATTAGATAGAAGTGACATAATATGCTGCTTAGGCTGTAAATAGAATTGTACTCATGCGACATGTTTCTAAATTTTTGTGAAGTCATTGATTAGGATTTGCACACTGTTCTGCCAAATATACTGTACTGGTTGGTGGACACAATTGGATAGAATGCTGACATCACTCCACAGATTCAATGAATTAATTATTGCAGAATAGTACAGGGAGTGGCTTGTGACTCTATATACTGTACTAGGTTTTCTGAAAATGGCATAAAAAGAGCAACAGACAGAGGAACATCTCTGAGCAAGAACTATCTAACAATATTAGCTTTATTTACTGTATGCTGAAGCATGGTGACTTTGAGGCAGTTGAAAAGGATTTCCCTGTGAGTGGGCTCCAGGTTCAGGTCTTGCTTTCTCCAAAAATCAGAAAATGGTCACCTTATCACTCTTTGCTGAACATATCAAGCAAAGCTATAGCAGCCACTATTATCTGTTAACTATCCTCTATTGGGGCTGCATTGTATACCTCCCTTGGGGAAAACGCCTTGTAGCACAGTTTTATGAAATAATGTGTTGTATTTCCAATAGAACTGACTCGTGTCTATTGATTTTTGGGACTGAGATTAATACTCCCAGTGACACAGTTGCTGACCTCTAACATTGGTCTGGGTATGTGCTTATCACAGGGTTCCAATGTACCCCAATAGGATGGGGGGTGGTACTGGATGACACTTTTGGAATCTGGTACCATTGAAACCTTTTTTATTTTAAATTGCAATCACATCAATCATCTCTTCATTTCTAGCTGCAGCTTCAAGGATCTATTGGATCCTAACAGCTACTACCGTAAAAACAAACTATTCAAAAGGATTGAACATTCTTAAACCTTCCAAGGTTTTTTCACACACTGCTCTCAGTCACAAGGGTGCCGTTCACAACTGAACAAGAAATCACCTATTATAAAATTAGAAAACATTTTGGGGTGGAGGATACATACATTAAAAGTGAACAAGCTAATGAAAAAACGCATCATCTGAAATAGCATTCAAACATGTGGCAGGTGCTGTTAATACTCCACATTTTGTACATTCCTTGCAAGGTGCATGTTTGCCTGCTAATTATAGAGGGCACCCCTCATACAATAAGCAGGGAAAATTCATAAATATGACAACACCTGTAGGAAATATAAGCAAAAACTAATAGAAATAACTTTTTAAAAATGAATTTGTGCTTGAAATTACCAGCTGTTCCCCCAAAGCACATATAACAGAATGGCAGCAGCTGCGATATAGCAGCTATATAGTATATCCACATTACAATTGTAATCTGTCATAGCAGACTTCTATACTTCTTAATTGCAATCAGTCTTAGCAGTATTACAGCAAGAAAACCACAGATTCCATAACTGAAAATGAACCAGAGATTAGTCTGTAATAAACACGTGAATTTGGTATTCATATTTCATATTCTCAGAGACAAGGATAATGCCTTCAAATATATTCTGAACATTTAAATTTACTCTGTACTTGATGTAACTGGTACATTAAATTTTTGTAGACGTGCATGCAAGGGAATATTTTGCAAGGATAACTAAACTTACAGCAATGTAATAAACTTTAGCTCTTTCCACCAGCTTCCAGTTCTTCTCCACATCAAGATGTTTTTCTTTCTTATAACAATTTGCGGCAGCCAGATTAGCAATAAGAGACCTAAAATGATAAAGAGTCGACAGTGTTGTTTATTCTTTTAGGGCAATGCAACCTCCCCAAAATGCTTAACTGAATTGGTGCAGAGGTGCTTTGAACAGCAGAATGTGTGATGCAATGCTCTTTACTATGATCCTGCTATGCTGGCAGGGCAGGGCACTGCAGAGAGCTGGTGTTTCAAATAAGTAACCATTTATCATGTATGACAGTGATTGCCTACTACCAACCTTAGAGCTATGCGCTGCAACTACACATCTCATAGTATCCTATACTAGCATCATAAAGATGGCATCCCATGAGAAACAAGAGCAGCAGTTTCACCCTACTGTGCTGTGTTGTCATCACTGTGGTCATGTGAAATATCAGCAATGATAACCGGGCAGCTGATACACAGTTCTATCTCAGTTATTAGTAGAGAAGGGTAGTCTGAACAAAGGTTGTAATTGTCGAATCAAGTTTTGGTTCAAGATCCAATTCAATAGGCTGTTACTAGATAGTCTGGTCTTGGTCTGTGGCACATTTGGGGATGTCCAGACAAATAATTTTAAAAGAAGTGATCAGCATCCTCATTCACAAATTAAGAATCCACCATACTCCAGCAGACAGCAAATTTAGGAATTGTTCCCAGTGAAAAAGTCAGAGTTTTGATTTACAGAGACGAAGTCCCTGTTTGGTGAAGTCTTTGCAGATGGAACAACTATGAGAGAAGTGGGATTCATCAAGGAAGAAGAGGCATTTGGCGTGCTGGTCAGTAGGAGCAATACCGCCTCTATCCTCACAAATCACACATTTCTTGAAGAGCACCTTTGCAGCCGTAAGAATGGGCAATAACCATTGTTAAAGCAAAAATTTGGGGCCCAGCTCTAGCAAGGATTGCTTGTCTTGTCATGGAACACAACTGTTCCTTATTTTTAAGGAACTAGGAAAGGATTGCTCTTCTTGTCATGGAACACAACTAACTGTTCCTTATTTTTAAGGAACTAGGAAAAATATTAACTGTTATCACAAACATCAAGCTGTTATGATTTTAAAAAAGCAAACCAATAAAATATATAAGGTTCTTTCTATTATGCATATATGTGCATCTTGCTTTATAAAATTCTATGGAATTGTATTGTTTTTAATTTACTATGAACTTCTTGTCATGGAACACAACTAACTGTTCCTTATTTTTAAGGAACTAGGAAAAATATTAACTGTTATCACAAACATCAAGCTGTTATGATTTTAAAAAAGCAAACCAATAAAATATATAAGGTTCTTTCTATTATGCATATATGTGCATCTTGCTTTATAAAATTCTATGGAATTGTATTGTTTTTAATTTACTATGAAATCAAATCTTATAAGGAAAATGCTTAATCAATCAACAAATATTCTGCCCTCTTAAACTAGATTTATACACTTCCAGATTATAAGAGCTAGAAATTTTGGGCCAAATCTAAATCAGGTAACAATGAACATGAACCTGATGTTTCATGGGAGCATCATCTTTCATGATGAGTCCATTTATGTTATCTTTGCAAAATCACACGAACCAGGGCTTTGCATGGAATGCTTGATAGATATTTGTTTAAATCCTGTTTACAACAGTAAATCACAACTAGATATGATTTGTTAGATCCCCACCAATTCAATGGGCTTACTCTAGTTGCAACTAGCTGCAGGATTTCAGCCACTGTTATTATTTATTGTGAAGGGAGAAATGCCGCTCTTTTTCTCAATATCATGGATACTCCTAAACAGAATGCATACTCTTTTTTGCAGTCATTTAATTAAATGAAACATAGTTTGATGGGATAACAGTCACTATTTGAGGAAAGTAATCTGAGAATTACAGTGAACTAACTGCTTAGTCAATGCAGTAAAGCAATAAGGACACCAAAGATTTTTACCTTCCTAGGGAAAAACACAGCACAATGCAGAATCAAAATCACATAATCAACAAGACAGCAAGATCATAATCTCCTTCCCTTCATATGGCACTTCTTATTTCACACCTGTTTCTTTCCATGTTGCTTCCTTTGCTATAGGGTTAACTGTTAGTTTTTTTTGTTATCTCATAGTAGATGCTGATTTCAGACGAGGTTGCTCTTTTTTTATTCACAGCTAAAATAACAATTCCTTGATGCTCCATCTTGCTTTCCACAATTGTCAACCCTTGGTCTTAAGTATGTTTACTGAAACAACAACATTTTCTGAAAGAGATGGAAGCCTTCTTTTCTGGACTGTAACTCCCTGTATTCCATCCTGTATTCCATGGGCACTAGACATGCTGGTTAAGGAATCTGGTAAGCTGTAGTTCAAAAAAATGACATGTTCCTATCATAAATGTTTGCTTCTGCATTCTTTCAATAAATCATTATTTAAAGAAACTGCATTTTGTATTTATTAGATGTAATGACAAATAACAGTTGAAAGTCTGAAGTAAATTTCCTCTCTAATGTACACAATGATACAGTTCAGCATCACCTTCAGACCAGGCTATAATTATATTACTCTGCACTTCAAAGAATAATTACGCCCCTATATCATTTTTAAAATGCTGATATTCTTTCTCATCATTACCTTTTCAGTAAAATTCATTATGTGACAACATAAAATGAGATTAAAGAGAGATAAAATAAGCAAAGCTATCCAATGCTTTGGTTACACTGACTTCCTTTGTCTAATCTGTAAAAATTTAAAATTTAACCCCAGAATGGACTACATAAAGATTGCCTGGTAGCACTTTTTTCCATAGACCAAGGAACCCGTGCAGACACAATGGCGGCAGATTTCAACTCACTGTGGAGGTTAGCTATTATCTTCCACATCCCTTTACTTTCAACATCTTGCCTGATGAGGAGATACTATTCTCAAAAATCTGCATTTTTTGCACCTTCTTGGCCAGCCTATTAATGATGCAGTCTGGAATTTGTTTCATGACAAGACGATCACTGCTTTTGTTTTGTTACCATTTTTAGAGTGTTTGTCTTGATTCATATATCCTGTGACCATTATTACACTCCTGTAGGGTAAACCAGAACTAAGTTCATATTAGCAGTGGGGGGAGGGGATAGTGCTGGGCAAATCATATCGTACACTTCTTGATTTTTAATTCAGCTATTTAGTCCCCTATACCAGTTCTAAAAATCTTCCCAATAATTTTATCATCAAAATTTCTTGAACCCAACTGTCTAGCACTGAAAAATGGGAACAAAAAGAATGACAATGTGCTATGCCAATGCTTCTGACTTAATTATGGGAAAGGTAAATTAATAAAGAGGAATTAATAAAAAGGTGAGATTTTTGAGAAGATAAACATGGAAAGGTGATTCTAGTTAATCCTGAGTGTAGCTTACAAAATGTACTTGAAGACTTCTGCCATATTCTAACTCAAGTAATGGATTCCTTAATTTTTCTATATTTATATGCCAAAAAGAAAAAAAATCACTGTGGAAAAAAATACTAGACCTGTTATCACTTGTGATGCAGGCTGCACAGGTTCCAGTTGGTTCTTCACTCTGCTCATAGTAATGTGCATCCACATGAGCTTCTTCTGCTTTCTTCTTTAAAATCTCACCGAATTTATCTGTTCCAATGCAGCCAAAAAAAGTTGCAGCTTTGTGAGGGAACTGGATCATCCACTATAGTCGGACGCAAGGAAAGAACAATTAATTTAGAATGTTGGAAAATATATATTTTATTCTTATATATCATCACCTTGAACACACACACACTAAAACTGTCCAAAGAAAACAAATGATAGCCCTTTAAATTGCAAAATAAAAAAACTAATTCAACAACACTTTCCTATCTAGGTAGATTTAACATTATTCAAATATTTAGGCTTATCAAAAAGATTATGCATACTAATACTATTTAGAAAAGGACTGAATATCACCAATATTGTCAACTACAGTATAATCAAGTTTATATCAAATAGATCTAATAATATATAAGCTAAAGAGCAGCAGCATAAATTATATGGACTTTTTCTTTTTAATGTATTATCTGGTCAAGGACCAAGCAATACTGAGCAACTACAGGTTAACATACAAAATGTTATACCTTGACATTTTAAAAAAATGTTTCTATTGTTTTCAATGCTTATTAGAGGAATTATTTCAAGGCAAATGCTAATGGACTAGAACCCTGAAATATTAGCACTCCAGTTAGGAAATGGGAATTCAAATGTCTGATTGCAGGGTCCATGTGTGCCCTACTGTAAATGTGTTTCAGATGAAATGGTCATACAATGTACTGTATTTTTTGCACCATAAGACTCACTTTTTTCCCACAAAACAAGGGGGTGGAAAGTCTGTGCATCTTATAGAAATGGTCATACAATGTACTTTCAAAAGTAACAACAAAATGGCTAACCCTGAAGCAAACTACTGATAGTTTTTTAAAACTCTAAATTATACCTTGTAGCTATTTTTACGTCAAATTACACCTTGTTAATTTGGAATCCATAACATGATTTATAGCTGGAATATAAACATAAATAATTCTTACGAGATTAAGGCTGAATAATAGAGAGTACAATACTCCCTTAGTATCTAGCACTGTTAAAACGTCAAAACTCTTTAAATACTAGCCAAGGGAGTTTCAAAACTAGTGTGGTTTAGTCTTACATAGCAGACCATAACACTTTCCAATTTTCGCTACAGCTGATTATTTAGCCCCACCAACACTGACAACTGACTGGCTACAAAATGCCATGATCACTCTTATATTCTGGACAAATTTCAATCAGTAAACATATATTTATCAGCATATACCTACAGAAGTAACAAAAACAGGAGGTAAAGGTCAAGTGAAAGTTTATTGACTATGATAAACTTAGAGTGCCTCTATTCAATTACTTTTTCCTTCAAAGTGTGTGTGATCAAAGCAACAGAGATTTCTGGAGAGTCACATAACAAGCTGTCTGTTGAGATTGAAACATCTGGTCATTATTCCCTAACACTGCAACTTCATGCAGAGTTAGCAACAGGGTATGCTTCCTCTCCATTTAGGGAGAGAGTGACACATATGGCCAATCATTTAATCTAGAAAGGGTTCACTCTGTGCTATTACATACAATTGTTTTCTGCATTTTATGGGGTTTTTCAGTCATCACTGGACTCCATCAGCACTGCTGTCTGTTACAGGCTTACGCTCAAAAAATTTGAAAACATGACAGTAACAGCATTTAATTTTGTATCAATCTCATTTAATTTAGAAAGATGGATCTCGTCAAATAAAAGTTTACTCATTGTCACATTTCACCTTTCCTCCAGTTTGCTAAAAGCAGTTTATTAGCCTGTTAAGGTGGATTTTTACACAGACATATGAGGGAAACAGACTAGCCTAAGTTTCACAGTGAAGAATCTGTTTCCAAGCCAAACACTAGACTTAAGCCATAGCAAACCCCTTCATTTTTTTATTTTCTACATCCACTTTGGCATATTTGCATATCATAAAGCAGAACAATAAAGTTTGAATGGATTTTAAACTTTTTATTTTAATGACATTATTACTTTTAAAATAGTGATTACTTTCCAACAGAGTATAAACAAATTAAACTTTCATTTCCCATTAAACTTTTCAGTTTTGACTTTTTGTATATGCTCTCTCACATAGTAGAATATGTACTTTTGCCTACCTCCTGTAAAACTGATTTCCTCCTGAGTATCTTTGCACACACACACACACAGTGGTGCCTCGCAAGATGAAAATAATTTGTTCCGCGAGTCCTGTCATCTTGCGAAATTTTCATCTTGTGAGGCGCATTTTCCATAGGAATGCATTGAAATTTAATTAATGTGTTCCTATGGGCCAAAAAACTCTGGAAAAGTCACTTACCAGGTAGGGAGCTGGGGAAGCACCATCGGAGGACTGGCGGGGGTCCTCTGCAACCACAATTGCTGCTTTCGGAGGTCCCCCGGCAGTCCTCCGATGGTGCTGAGGAAGTCTTCAGAGGCTTCCGAAGCCAGCAATCGCAGTTTTGGGAGACCCCAGCCAGTCCTCTGATGGTGCAGGGGAAGCCTTCAGAAGCTTGCCCAGCACCATAGGAGGACTGGTGGGGGTCCCCCACAACCGCGATCACCGCTTTCAGAGGTCCCTCGGCAGTCCTCCAATGGTGCAGGGGAAGACTCCGAAGGCCTCTGAAGGCGCCGATCACAGCAGGGGGGGACCCCCGACAGTCCTCTGATGGTGCTTCCCCAGCTCCCTACCTGGTAAGTGACATTTCCAGAGTTTTTTGGCCCATAAGAACACATTAATTAAATTTCAATGCATTCCTATGGGAAAACGCACCTCGCAAGACGAAAATATCTTTGTCCTGCAAGGCACCTAAAACCTTCAAGGCACCTAAAAACTTGCAAGATGCTTTCATCTTGTGATTTTTTTGTTGTCTGAAGCATTCATCTTGCGAGGTACCACTGTACGTACGTATGTACGTACATACATACATACAATCCATCTTACATATTAATGTTCATTCTACAACAAAGGAAATGCAGCTACATTCTAGGCTTGTTTACTTGGAAGAAAATTTATCTAAGTTCAATGAGTTTACTGCCAAGTAAAATTAGAACCTTACAGCAAGATCTAATGTCAAAATGGCTGAATCTAGTAGAATTGGGAGGGAGTGGTTCCCCTTTCCACAGCAGCCCCTCACAGGCCCCCAGATGCTTCTTGGATGGTTGGGAAATAATCTAGAAATGACTTTTGAGTGACATCCAGGGCTGTGATAGGAACACGGAAATAATTTAACTTCAGTTGCCAGAACAACACTACACATATCTACACTAACCCTTCTAAAGGCTGCTTCACAGAAGAGTAAAGAAATGTTAGATGGCCACAAAAATACTTGGTGGTCCACTTTGCAGAGCTGCTATAGCCTTCCTTTTGCCTAATTTCAAAGAAGAAACAGAAACACGTGCAATCTCAAAAATGAGGGTTGTTCTGCAAACAGATAGTGCAATGGTTTTCAAATCATATTCATATAAGTGCCTAATACCATATGGTAAAGTGTGCTGCAATGGTTTTCAAATCATTGCACTATTCGTATAAGTGCCTAATACCATATGGTAAAGTGTGCTTGCACACCTATTCATATGACCAGTTTTGTAGACAATTTTGTAATGGACTTTTCTCCATTACAACTGCTGCTTCAACAACTGCTCTTGCACAAATAGGAATTTAAATAGGATGCTTTCTTTTGCTTTTTAAAAAGAAAATGGAAGCAAATTAACCATAAGCACTTTCCATAAGAAGGTGTATATATTATCAGAACTACACTTCCTTAGAGTTTTTAAACTTTTGTTCCTTCCATACCTCTCAGTGACCCAAGTAAATTAAAATGAAAATGATAGAGATAAATTATGAAACAGAACAAATTAGTTTCTTTCCACAGACCAACAGTTTTGTTGGTTGAAGTGAATA